AACCAGAAAAGATATGTTTAATTCTGCCTTACATTTTAACAGAATTAATTTGTATGATTAAAATTTTCAGCACGCCTCAAACAGAGACGAATTAATTAAGATAACTTCAGAAGTGAAACTTTTTGTCATGACTAGAAACATTTTTTCCTCCTGCATTTTGGTTATCTCGCTCCAAAAGTGTTTGGTCTCCTAAGAATGCGCTCTTTATTGCCCCAGTGCACGGAGCAATGGTATGCGTGAGTCTTTTTGTGAGGCAGATTTAGAAAGCCCTCTTTAGAGGCTGAACGCAGCCTCACAATCAGCTTAATGCCTGCCTATAATGAATACCCTTGTGTGCGTCAATTTGGCAGACTGTGTGTGTGTTTTTGTTACACTGATAGGGTTCTCAGGTTGGTCAGTAATTCAATCATACTGTGGGTGAATTCTGGTCTGTCTGTTTGTGTGTGTGTGTTTAGGTTTGTGTTGCTGAGTGAGCTTGTGTGAAAGGGTTGGTTGACATGTGAGTGTTTGTCCAGACATTGTGCAGCAGCCTGTAACTGCCTCACCTCTCTCTCACTCTCTCTCCCTTTCTCTCAGGGCTGTTCTGTTGTCAGTGCGAGCTCATGCTAGTGATGGACTACAGCCGGACGGACGCTAACCTTAGCTGGCACTCACAAAACAGCATTCCTCCTTACTGAGACCAGCTCCACAGAATGCTGAGTCCTATTGTCCCATATAGTGAGTACACTACTACACACTTCTTTCTTTCTACCCGCCTGCATGTCACACCGAACGGCCTCACTTGACTTGGTTGGACTTTGCCTGAATCAATGAGCTCCCACTCCAGAAAATAAGCAGGAGTGGACACTGTGTTCTGTAGTTTGCAAACAGAGAGAAAAATGCACAGGTAACTGTGAAAATGTACAAGCCTCAGTGCAGAAACCTGACTTTTTCCTTGACGTGCACTGTGGAAACGCTAAACCCTAAGCGCTGGCCCTGTCTGAATGTTTCATCACCAGGCGGAAGGCGCAGTTGGGGGAAGGAAGAGGGACAGAGGGAGGTTGGAGGGCTGATGGTTAAACCAGCAGAAACCCCTCAGCTCTGCCAGTGTCATTTTACCAATACAGCTCAGGACTTTCCACCACACACGCAGCCTCCTGCTCTCCCTCCTTTTCCCTCTTCTCTCTCATTTCTCCCTTCAATACTGACCTAATAACTGACGTGTCCAGTTTTGGCCAACCCCCCCCCTTCGTACCCTCCCACCAGGTTTCATTTGAGTCCAGTGCTCTGGCTCTCCAAAACAGCATTGTTTGCCGGCCAGCATGGGGCTGCCTCCGTGGCCTCGGTCTCAAGAGCCCCTTTTTCTCAGCTCTTTAACTCGCCTCAAAGGAGCATTATTGGCATGACAGTTGCAAGAAAAGAGGGAGAAATCAAACAGAACGGTTAATTTAAAAAGTATTACTTGGTAATGGATGGTAAAAACTTGGGATTTGTTTTTTTTTCGCATCCAAAAAATGAACTGCAGACGCAGTGTGTGGGTGTGAGAATTCAAACTGGACAAAACAGCCTTATTAAAGCGTAATGAGCAGATGTTTGACAGTAACCATGACGTTTTGTTTGCTTTTTGTAAATTTCGCCCTTGAAATAGCCAATGTTATTATTTGACCACTCATCAGATGAATGGAATTTTGAATTGTTGCCAGCAGAATAAGTAGTTGACCTATTGTGTTGTTATGAAACATGTCGTCTCACAAGTGGCTCTCGGTTGATTTAATGCAAGTTCTCACAGAACATGTTGTGTTTTTTCCCATTAAAAGTTCTTTACAGCTGTAAATTCAATTAGGCTGGGATGCTCAAATAACACCAATAGACCATTCATTTGTGAGAACATGCATGCTTGTGCTGCTTCCCATCAATCCTTGTTTAAGAGATCCTTCCATCATCTCCCTGCACCCTGTTAGTCCATACTGACTGAACACACTCTCCCTGCTGCTAAAGTGAACAAAACGTCCAAGAATGTCACAAACTGCTGGTGGAATAGTTAGCATGCCTTCAGAGCCGGCACACTGCTGGTCCTTCATGGGAATCTTCCAGTACACTACGTACTGGCCTTTGTGTGTGATTTGCTTTTATGATCAGGATGCACAATGCTGGTTTTTATCTGCTCTGCCAAGCAGCTTGATGGTTTTTCATGTACAAAGTAGCTCTGTTCTGCAGAGCTTTTGCAGGGTTGAGATCGTTTCAGAACAGCCTGCTAGTGTGCATGTATGTAGACAGAGGGAACGTGTAAGCGCACACAGCAGTGTTAGGTAGTCACGTTGTTTACTCTCAGACCAGTGACACACAAACATACCCTTGTGCTTGCTGGTGACACTGCAGCTCACTGTCTTTCACTTAAAGACTGTAGTCATGATACTGCTGACCAAAAGTCCGACTGTGAGGGACTTTGCATATGTGCAGGACATGCGAAGACTCTCACCTCCATGTTGGAATCCCTGTTGTGGGAATGTGGAGCATTCCCGCTTCCCAACGCTGCTTCTGACTCCTGCTGTAGGCATTTCTCCCAGTGCACATAGTCCCAGTGTATAAATGCACACATGGTGACGCACAGTTAGGTACACCCACCAACACACTTCTTTGTCTTTCAAAGTCTTGTTGTTGTTATCAGGACTGCTTTTACAAATGTGGTCTCAATGATTTCCATCCTGCGTGTGTGCGTGTGTCTCATCTTGCCCTGGCGTGTCCGGCCTTGGTCCTCATCTCCGGCCAGTCCAGAGGACTTCAAGCTGGGGCGAGCAGCCACGGCCGGACCTGAGAAGAAACCTGAGAGAGATTCCAGGGGCCATGGATACTCCTGGAGGGATTTGGTGCAAAGAATCTGTAATCTGCACTTCAAACACACTCTTAAATCAGTCCCAGGCCGCCAACCCAGGAGTGCCCTAACTCTTGTTGCTGGGGGCCCCCGCTGGTGTAGCGATACCTTTTCTTTTAAAACTGCGCACATACACACAGACACAACCACACACACACACAGAGCAACTACACACAGATCTGGCAGTTTTTATAGCTCTCCTCTGACTGACCCCTCTCCTTTCTCTCTGTGGCTCTGTTTTTATGTTTTGTGCGAGTGTCTTTGTGAATGACTCGGCTAAGTCATGGAGTAGTTTGTATAGAAAAAAAGAAGGAGTCGATCTCATCCTGGCCCCTGAAGAAGCAGGTTGGAGGGCTGTGCCAGCGTCTATTCCTATTGTAGGCAGAGTGGTACGAGTGGTGCAGTGGGGGGGTCTGTGGGGCCCTTCAGTAAACACACAGTCTCCTAAAGTGTGTGTGAATAAGAGCTGGGATCATTAGTGTATGGTGTGAATGGGCTCTAATTAGCCCCCAGTGTGTGTGTGGTTGTGGTTGTGTGTGTGTGTGTGTGTGTGTGTGTGTGTGTGTGTGTATGTTTGCATGCGTCTCTGTCCACAAGAAAAGAAGGTTAGGGACCCAGGGCCCTGTGAGTCCACAGGCCTTGTGCTCTGTCTCTCTGAGGGTTCATCAGCTCATTAAGGAGACCTCCGCTCCCGTTAAGGGCCCAATTAAGAAGCAAGGTGGTGAGGCTCATTTGGATGGCAACACTTCACTGAATTCCTGAGGCAGCAGAATTCAGGGCTTGACAATGAGACACAATGTCTTTCACACCAGCACAGCTAATTAGTAAATGACTACGCTTGAGAAATAACATACTTTAATCGTTATGCCATTATGTGTTTGTAGTGCAGTGATCACAAAATGCACTGCTATAGAGGGAAGTGGCTGTTGAACACACTGAGCTTTCTCTAATGTGTGTGTGTACTAACAGAAAACAAATCCCAGAGCTATCCATGTGCTGAGAGTATAAGCTGGGAGCACAGAGGGGCCAGGGGATTTGGGAAGAAATGAGGGAATGCAACATGCTTACTGGGAACGGGTGGAATATGAGAAACGGGGAAAGAAGGAGATTGCAAGAAAAAGATAGAGCTGAAGAGGGGGAGATAGAGCAGAGATTGGACGAGTGAGACAGATGGAAGGGGTGATTGGTCATCACAGAGCCTTAGGACAGCTGTTCTTTGATATATTAGTGGACACAATGACCTAAAGCCAGCCTGCAGTCACAGAAAATAGGGACCCTGTTTTTCTTGAAGGGGAGGGGTGGGTGGACGGGGATCTGCCATTTGTGGACGAGCGTTAGCAGGCACGGGGGATGGGGGAGTTGTTTCTAAAATTACGAGCATGAAGTGACGCATCCAGCAATTATTCCGGAGGCTTTCTAGTTTTGGAGAGTGCTGAGGAAAGGGCTGTAAAATGAGCATGCTCTCAGATGGGAATTTGCTTTTTGCTGCACTATCATTAGCCATTCTAAACACGTTTGTCAATTAATCAATGTTTTAACAAATGCCATCAAGTAGTTTGGCTACTGCACTGCTCCATCCACTCTGCAAAACAACAACTTTTATGACACTCTGAATATTGGTTCAGTGCTAATGACCTGGGTTTTTACCACATAGAAGCTTGTTTTATTCTGTTTATCGACTGGTTTTGAACAATAATTGTCATTTATCGTAACATTTTATTGTATTTTATTACAGACAAGGGCGGTATGACTTCATTATTCTGTTTTCTGCATATCTTGAAAATACTCAGTACAAGACTGTCATGTCGTCCTTCTCTTTTAATAAAACCGTATTAGCTGCACACGCTGACAAAAACTGCTTTGACAGCTGGTCTGAAACATCCCCAAAGGTGGATAAAACAAAAAATAGTGTAAGTCAAACTGTCACTCTGATACATGGAGCACAGAAAGGTCTTTCCACAGTAAGACAGAGAGAGAGACACGCACAGAGGACATCCCTCAATGCCACTGCAGGAGATGGGCTCCTTCCTCCTGGGACTGGACTGGTGAGGCGTGTTTGAAAAGAGCTGCGTCTGCTCGTGCTCTGGGCAGCAGGTGTGAAAACTCCCCACCAGAGCTCCCGCACTCTTCTGTTATTACATCTTTTTAGGGCCGTGAAAGAGGGAGCAGATGAGCCAGAGGGAGTGAGAGGCAGAGTGGGAGTGTGGGATTGTGTTTCTTTTGATTGATTGCAGCCCCATGACTAACGCATAGATTTATAATAATTTTCCTTAGCAATGCCCAATTATGCCTGTCTGATAAATTACGATCTCTGTTGTTTGGTGTGCGCATTATTCTCTTCTCTTTGTCTTAAGACGGTTTGGAAAGGGTCTCAAGGGTTGAGCTTGCACTTCGTTCACCAGTTTTTTGACAATACCCCACATACCATTTTAAAATGTTCTTGTTACTCAGTGTACCATATCAACATTAAGTCATTAATTTAATTTAAGTTTAATTGTGAAACCACATCAAAATTAAAACATTGAATGCTGCCATTGTTATAAAAATATCAAATTTCTGAGTTTAAATAAATACACAGGCATGGGGTGCTTTAATAAGACAGGGGGCACAGTTGCAAGTGTCTGTGAAAGAAGTGATTTGGCACGCAGATGAGAGTGCACTTTTCCAACAGACTCTCTCTCACTCATTGCTAGTGTGTCATTTGTTAAGCTACTTAGGCTACCATATCTGAGGTTGCTGACCCCTGTGATAATATAGTATATCAGTGGAGTATCGTAAAACATACCATTATCCACAATATAAGTGAGGAATTCATCATCATTTTTCATTATGTGGGTGCAAACAAGAGCTGATAAAATGTGTATTTTATTCCAAAGAGAGAGAACATCCAGAGACAATTTTCCTCTGTCTCCACCTGCCACGCTGTGAAATGTGGCTGGCCTCTCAGATTGGTGTTTTTATGACAGACCAGGTAGTATGCAGCGGCAGGACGGCCACTGCCTAGTGAGAATGTCCTGCTTGATATTAGTGTCATAAATCACAGTGAACTTGAGAACAGAGGACTTAAAGGGCTTCAAGACTGAACTACAAATCAAGATAACAAACTCTGATAAATAACAGATCCTGGGTGCAAAGGCTTCTCCATTTGCACTCCAAACACAGTTCTTGAAGGTTAAAAGCAGTTTATTGAATATGTTTGTCTAAAATGCACAGAAGTGTTTAAAGATTCCCGAAGAAAGACATAATTTCTTTTACATATTTATGTCCAGCAAGCAGGAGTTTCATCCAATAACTCATTGATCAGCCTGTGTTTGCTGAATACATAACAACTGATTCAGACACCAGAGCTTCAAGTTTGTGATTTATCAGCACAAATAATAGTGTCTGTCACCCTACGCTCAGCTTTCTGCCTGTCACTCCCCTCGGCTGTGTGCCTTTTATTGTAACTGCATTCAATTCAAGCTTTTCTCTTTAAAGTGTCTGTTTCTGAGATGTCTAAATTGAATCCCTGACGTACAGCCACAACAGCCGGAGCAGCATTCTCAAAACAATTTGACACTCTGTAACATTATTTCAGAAGTATTGAAGGAATTTGGTTTTTGGCATTAAGTGAATTTACACCCTAGAGTTGTTTTCAAAATATTTTACCTCCTTGTTGAACAGACAAAATCCCTCTTTTACTGGGCCAGCAGCTTCATTTGGAGCAGAAAGAGCCATTCTTGGTGTAGTGTATTTTGTAATTGTGAAGCTAAGCAACCACGTACAGGTCTGTATCATGATAGCTCTCGTTATTAAAAGTTATGTAAGAAATTAGGAACGGAAGATCACATTTATAGATCAATGTACATGCACACTGCACTCTGTGTGGAGGTGTATGATGGAGTGGAGGTGTTAGTAGTTTTCTCTGCTTTGTGGGTGGGGGAAGAGCTGAGCTCTGAATAGAGCCCTGATTGGATTGATCCACGGCGCTCTTGTTTACAAGCGGCCTCTTCACAATCGGCACAGTTTAATAGCATGCTGTCCCAGAAGGGTTGTTGCATCCGTGTCCGTTTTGTTCCTCGGGGCAGGGAAAACAAAAGTGCCGGGAAGGGAGAAGGGGAAAGCAACCTCAGGGGAACTGTGAAACGGCACTGGAGCCCTCTACCTCCGGGCTTCTTGCCAAGATAACGTTTCTCCTCACCCATTGATACTTCTTTTATAGGAAACCACAACACGGTCTAGAGTACTACCAGTCTTTATAGGCCAAGAGCTACTCCGGTTTCACCTAGTCAACATGAGAGTCAGTGACTTTGCAGATGGCAGAAATCACAAATGAACCTAACACAGTCCCGCTGAGCTGTAAGTGGTCTAATTTTAATATTAGGGCCTCCTCAAAGTAAAGCTGTTTTTTCTGCTGAAGAGAGCTGTGCCACTGTCTTCATCACGTACTCCTACAATAGGATGCAGCTCACACAGGTCCCTCAATAAATCCCAGGCTGACACAAAAGCTGTCAGTGGACTGCTGCTGAATAGATTAATAAGATTTCCATAATTAGACAGGCCCCTGACAATAGGATCCTTCAGGCTTTGTCTCAGGGCCAACTGGTTTGTCCGAGCTGCGCACGTCTGCTGGACGGTCGTCCGCCACAATGGCCACACAGACAGTAAGGCCGTCAGCATAACATCTGTCTCTCCTGGGGCCAAGATCACACACACATACACACACACACACACAAACACACACATACACACACACACAGTGGGAAGTTTCATGTGCATACTCACAAGGATCTTATCAACCTCCTTGCAGCCACGTAAGGCCATCAGTCAATAGAAAATCAGTCTCATCACATATTTGTGTATACTTAACTTGGTCACAACTGATAACCATAAATTCAACAGCTCAGCTGATAAATATATTAAATAATCTTCCATCCTCTGATTGGATCACAGAGCAACTTATATTGACAACAGCAACAAAAGCTTCCAAAATAATTTAATGAGAATAGGATTCCCATTTTCAAACATACTAATGTCCTTGTCCAGTCTTAATAAATGTGTGAGGTTTTTTTTCCATAATCCTCTAATGTGAGTAAGATGAAAGTAGACTGGGATGCGGCAGGAAGGGGAAATGTCACAGCATTGGAGCTGGAAAATGTATCAAGTACAAAAATGATTTCCTGAAATTCACAAATTATTTTAGCAATGTGTTGTCTCATATGAATGTTTTATAGGATAAATACAATCTAGCATTGTATTGCAACATATATTGAAGTTTATCTAATGATTGCAGTGCTACCCGCACTATGTGCACATTGTCCTGATTCCCTACTTCTAATCTTAGCTTTCTTTCCACCCCTCCAGTGAATTAATCTACACGATGGCTCTGATTTAAGCAGAAGTGTAGATTAGAGTTTGCTCTGTTCATTGTGGAGCGGTACTGCTCTAAAAACCACAATCCAGCAGAAGGCAAGATCTAATTACATGGAAACGGCTAAACTGCACTGCAACCCTGCTGTGTTTATCCGAGGTGAATGGCAGCCTATCACTCATCTAGCTCACTGTGTGCATACAGCAAAAATTATAGAGTATAATGCACTTTTTTAAAAAGACTTATAGAAAGTAATTACTCTCAGATTTAACAGTAAATTGGTTCTTTAGGTATGGGCAGCTGGTCATTACATTGGGGTAGTGTGAGAGAAGTCCATTCTGTGTTGGTGCTACTCTAATGATGGAGTGGACAGCAGTTAGCCCGCCTCACTGAGTCCTCTAATGTCCGCTCCAGTCCGCTTAGAGAGGACGAAGTGCCTGCTGTCCACTCTTTTCCCTCCCTCCATCCCTCCCTCCCCACTGCAGGTTTTATGAGCTCCCCTGGGCTCTCATCCATCTCTGTCACACACAGGCCCCATTATTGGGGCTGCTCACAAACTGGTTGGGCTGCAGATGGGAAGGGCCTGTAGGACATATATGGTTTCTGCAGCCTGGACAAAGACCTGCAAGTCGGACCACAAAAATATGTCGTCATCAGGGTGTGGACAAGACAATGTCTTCAGCATGTTTGTAAAAAAAAAAAAAAAATACAAGTGAACAGAGTGTGAGAATGTGCCTTTTACATCCCGCTGTGGTGGGTGTGTTGGTTGACTGAAGCTTAGGGAAGTACTTGAACTGGTTTGGCCATTGGGAACTTAAGGCAGTGGATTTGAATATGAAGGACATGATAATCCAATGGCCATCTGGTCTGCTGGTCTCATCTGACTGAATAAATAACGGACGTAATCTGAAAACACACATGGGGAGGTTTGCAAAGCGGGTAAAGAAAGAGGCCAAAGTTTAGGAGTGAGCGGGAGTGCAGCAGCAGAATCACAGGCTATGGATATTGAGATTTGATTTAAATGGCAATAAGAAGCCTGGCTCCACACACACAGACATCCATGAATAATGAATCATCAGGCGTCCTCTGAAGGAAAAGGCAGAGAGGCCAGTAATGATGGCTTTTGCCATATTCCTTTTCACCTCCCTGTTTCTGTAGGTGAGTACTCCTCACCTCAGGGTAAATTGTGACAGTTCAATAATGCCAAGTTATGTGTGGAATGTCAAGCTGATGCCTCAGCAAGAGGTAGTGCTAGTCTTAGTCATAGACGATTCTATAACAATCGTATCGTTATATATTTGTTTAATACACACATAAACACATACACTTAAATCAGAAAATTCACAGTTGATCATACATGCACAAATAATTGGCCCTGAGAGAGTAAACAATAGCATGCAAACACTGAACATTAGTAGATGCATTATATATTTGGGCAAAGGAGTTGTTAGACTGCCATATGCGTGTTCCACGCAATAAAGATACGACGCCTGTAGAATATTTTACTGGAAAATAGGGCCTTGAGGCACGAGGGGACCTGAAGGGAAAACAATTCATGGGATAAAATGTCTTTTTTTCCACTGCCCTCTCTCCTGTTAGCTCGGCGATGTGCTTGGTGCGTAGCAGCCATGATCAATCAGACCTCGGCCAGTGCTGAAGTCAGCCAGAGGAACAGACATTCCACTTTCCCAATGTTCCATGGGAGACTGTGCTGATGAATAGCACACTATGCTGCAATTCCAAACCCAACCCCCTCTCTCTTTCTTTCTTTCTTTCTTTCTCACTCTCTCCACGCCACTGTCCACACACACACACACACACACACACACACACCCTCCTTCCCCTCTCCCTCCCTTCCCTCCCTCTGTCCAGCCGGCCACTGGGCCTTTGGAGCTCTGGTGTACTGTGGGTGGGTGGATTGGTGGGTGGTAGGTGGGGGTGCAGGGCGGAGAGAGCAGGCATTCAGAGCAACATGCGCAGGGAGATAACAATAGCTCCTCTGGGAGACCTGCAGATGTTAGCAGTACAGGGAATAGTAGTGGGATCTTATCGCAACAACATAAGCTGGGAAACTACAAAACAACACATGCAACCTACCGATCTGCTTTCACTAGCTTTCTTTCTGCAGCTTTCTCTTTTTTCCTCCACCTCCCTTTTACCTTCCTCTCCCTCTCTGAGAAATGTGAGCCCCTTCTGCTCACATGCATGATGGTAACACTTAAAAAGAATCCTTTCCAAACAGAAGAAAGGCCATTCCTAGTCATTGGTTGCTGGGGGGGGGGGGGACAAATGTAGTGTCTAAATTTTGTACTGTCTAGTTTGCTAATCTACATTAAACTGAATATTAACTAACTCTGTTAGAAATAAACAGACGGTATTATGTCATAGCACGGTGAAACAGATATCAAAATCACACTTTATGTGTAGAATTGCATAATAGATATAAAAAAATGCCCTGCTATAATTATTTTTTAATAAGATTTTCTTTGTATACTGAGTGTCCGCAGTGTCTCAGCTCAAGATGAATATTGTATCAGTGACAGAACCATTTCACTTTAACAAGTGTAAAGCAAAGTGATATAACTTTTTTATATATTGGCGACCTTGGAACCTCAGATGTGGTTTGCATTTATAGATGGAAGATGGAAGAAGAACAATTCTCTATTTTCCAGCCACAGGAAAGGAATCAATTGATAAAGTTGCTTCATGGACCCAAATGGACTCGTATCATGATCAGTTATTTATGATATAATCAGTCCTACACTCCTTTTTCTGACATAATTGTATGTAGAGTAACCTTATGACCTTCTTTCCATGTGTTTTTTTTTTTCAGGCCTGTTAAAGATGCACTGGAACCCAGAGCATGCCCAGCCTCTCAGCCAGTGGCCTGAGCAGCACCTGGACGTCTCCTCCACCACCTCCTCTCCGGCCCACAAGTCGGAATTCTACGCTGGCCGTGGCCGCAGCTCCAGCAACTACGCCTGGGCCAATGACGACATCTCTGCTCTCACAGCCTCCAACCTGTTGAAGCGCTATGCTGAGAAGTATGCTGGTGTGCTGGACTCACCATATGACCGGCCACCTACTGTGGGCTCCTACCCAGAGCCAGGGGCGTTTGGGGGCCTCAACGTCCCAAAGACTGAGCTGGAGCCCTGGCCACTGTCGCACAGCACTGATGCCTCCTATTCCCTGGTGCCTCCTGGAGGCCATGACAGCCTCTCAGGTTCCAAGGCTGTAGCCACATCTGCAGGCCCTCCAGGGGTTGGTAGTGTGTCGGTGGTGAACAGTAACCTCTCAGACTCTGGTTACAGTGGCAGCAGCTCCTGCAGTGGCTCCAGCGAGTACCCATCTAGCTACAATGGCACCTATCTTTCCTCAGGGTACTGTCCCCAAACCAGTGCAGCACTTCCCCCTGCCTCTCTCCACACTCTTCAATCCACCCCCACTCTGGTGGCCAGCTATAGCCCTACCACACCTGTCTATAACTACCCCCCAAGCACATACCCTCCACACAACAGCCTTGCCCCCACCTACAGCCACCCCTCTGCAACTTACCTGCCCTCAGGTCTACCAGCCCCTACTCCCGTTCCCTCGAGGCCCACAGTGGTAGGCGGCAGCTATAGTTACCAGAGCACCAACCTTGGGACATCGGAGTCTGGAGGGACATTAAAACGAAAAGCATTCGAGATGAGTGTAGAAGAGGATGAGAGCGGGGATGGGTCTCGTTACAGGAAATATAGCTATGACTCCTTGAAGGCTGGGGGAAACTCTCCTTACAGTGTGAATGACAAAACAGAGTGCCGGGGAAACGGCTTCAGCGGTTCAGGCAGCACAGACCCTCAAACCTTCAAGCCCAGCAAGCCCTCCTCCCAGCCCCTGGTTTCTCCTCAGTATGGGGCAGCAGGGGAGTACAGCCCTCCAGCAGGCATGACAGGGGAGAATGGTGTGGCGGAGCAGGGCTTCATCCAACAGCAGCAGCATCGCTCCCAGGCCCACAAGCGCTCTCCATTGTGTGCCCCGACTGAAACTATGAAGAGCCCAGACCCCCGACTGTTGGACCTTGTCAGTGGGGAGTTACTGGACTGCAGCCCGGCGCTGGGATGGGGTGAGCTGGCTGGGCTCACCCATGTCAAGACTGCCCTGGAAGAGGATCTTCTGTGGCCCGTGTTGAGGCCCAGTCCAGTGGTGCGGCCCCCAAGAACCGTCCTGCTGTTTGGCCCCCGGGGGGGGGGTAAGACGACGTTGACTCGTTCTTTGGCTTCACAGCTTGGGGCTTCCTTCTATCGGCTGAGTGGAGCCATGCTGGCCTCTAAAGGGAAGGCTGAGGCAGAGCACATTCTGGGGTGTCTTTTGCAAGTAGCAGGGGCACGACAGCCCTCAGTGGTGCTGCTTAGCCAGGTGGAGGCCATGGAAGAGGAGGGTCTGAGGCAGACACTGCTGACCACCCTGGAAAAAGCCCAGGTGGGGACCCCAGGTCTGGTGATCCTTGTATGTGCCACTGGCAGACCAGATCTTCTGCAAGATGCAGTTCATCGGAGCTTTGCCAAGCGGTATCACGTCGGCCTGCCAGATGTGGGTATGCGCAGGCAGGTGCTGCTGCAGACCCTGTCGCCCCAAGGCTGCAGCCTGAGTGAGAGGGAGCTGAGTGCCGTGCTGCAGCGCACAGAGGGCTTTTCAGTGTGGGAGCTGCTTCAGCTCAGCCAGCAGGCACTCTCCTCAGCATCCTCCCCTACTGGGGCCATGCATGGGCACCCCACATCCTCCAAACCCCCATCCTTCACAGACTTTGAGAATGCCTTCTGCAAGGTGCGCCCACACACCACCACAAAAGAACTGGACACTTGTATAGAGTGGAGCAAGATGTATAACCACTGAGAAAGCAGCCAGTCACTGTACTCGGACTGCATTACGACCCTGTCTCTGCTTTGACATGGCAAGCCTTGGGAATGTTTTGTTGTTGTTTTGTAATTACAGATTATGCAGCCAAAAGAGCCAGAGAAGCTCAACGATACGGGAGAGCTGACAAAGTTGTTTTACTGGCAGAAGCATGCCATGGTGTGCTGTTTTTGTTTTCGTATGAATATCCGCAATATTTTATTTTTCCCAAAGAAAAGAAAGATGAATAGGCCTTGTTGAGTGGGGTAGTGTATTAGTCTTTTGGCCAATGGGAAAATCAGATTATATACTATTTGGATACTCTCAGAGATCCTGATTAGCCTTGGTCCAGGACAAAATCAATTATTTGTTGCTAGGTGACGTGGTCCAAGATTATGGATAATCAGGGTTTGGAAAATCCCCCCTTTGACTGCTACTCTCAGGATCCTATTTATTCCCAGTCCACTTCCATGTTATCCTAATGTTGATTTAGTCACTGGATTGTCACTAATTATTCAGTACGAAGGGCTTGGGATCAGCAACATTTCACCAAACCACAGTTTTTGACCAAAAACACGTCAAACCAAATGCAAGAAGAAGACTGCTCCTCAAAATCACAGTTAATGAATCCTTCTCGAAAGCTTCTCACCAAATCAAAACAGTTAGTCCTTATTGTTCCAAAAAGAAAGAAAATGAGATGATCTTTTATTAAATCCAGACATGCAGCTGTCCTTCCCAAGAGTTCAGTTGTTCAAGTAAAACCTTGTAGTTACACTGTTTGGTTGTAGAAATACTTCACATGTATTAGATTTAAGTCACCAATAGTATTATAATCACACTTAAATGGTACAACTCACAGACAACTTATTATTTTACTATTTTTTGGGTTGTTGTCCTTAACTTCCACATACATTTGTTCTCAACCTCACATTCCTCATTGTCTGCAGTTTTCCTGAGAATCCCACCTAACAGAACAAAACGTACCCACCTGCACACCCAGCTTCTCTGTTTTCTATTTCACTTACTCCTTTTGTTTTCTTAGTATGTAGTCTTGTTTGAAATGCTCAGGAAGAATTTCTTTACCTCAGAAATATGAAATTAAAGAATGTATGTAATCTTAGGGTCTTAGTAGAGAGTGGCGCGGAGTGAGATAAAGCAGCGAGGAGAAACCTGACAGTCTTGTAACACCCACTACAGCTGGGCTTTTACCTCGGGAGAGAAACTTGAATATGCTACAAAGAGTAACATTGAATGTAATTCAGGTATTTCAAAGGATATTTGATGCCATAAATCCATGTATTATTATATATGAATATATAAATACGTTTTCTTTTCTGTTCTTTTACCCTTTATTTTTATTGTAGTTTATGGTGGAGTGATGATTGTCTTCAAGAAATGCTATGTAGAATACAGAAAATATTCCTTTTTTTGTTGGACAAACTGCAAATATCCGTGTTATTTAGTGTTTACATATCCTGTATATGCATGTCTGCAAAATGTCATTTAAAAATGTAAATATAATGCACACAATCATACAGAGCACAAAATACCTTCCAAAACTACCACAAACAAAAACACAGATGCAAATAAAAAAAAAACGATTAAAGTCGTTATATGTAGCTTTCAGCAAATCCCAAAGTCTAAAAATTTGCAGTTAATGTGTACATATTGTGGATGAACCCAACATGTAGACAATCCAGAAAATAAATCTCTCTTTTTCCACTAGTCCTATAGTTCTGTTTTAAGAAGCTGGAAAAACCTGGTCACTGGACCGCAGGTACAGAGGTCGTACGTATTAGACTGTTGCCATGGTCCTGAGGAGGTACACACAGGATGATGTAATATTTCCTACCGCCCATTCCTCCCTCTGTCTCCCCCTCCCTCCTTCCCTCATCATTATTTTTCTCTTTTTCTCTCTCCCTAGTGCAATCTCATTAGATTGGATTGCCCCCTGGCCACGAGCCCCAGTGGCCATGTGGCGTTGTATCCTCTCCCCAACCCCAGCTCCCCCTCACCCTTCCCTTATACCGATTCCTCTGGAGTGGAAGTGGTCTGATTGATGTCCAGCAACTCTATATCACAGTGCAGCCGTCCCTCTCCAGCTGGTGGCTTCAGTCATGCCATACAGCCAGATCAATCAGAGTGACCCCCACTGTGCATACTGATCACTGTCTCAGAAACTGAAAACACATTTATAAATTACAAAACAACCCCTGCCTCAAGCGGCACGGTCCAGATAATGCTAGCGATTATTCACAGGTAATTACAGAAATGAATGAATAGCTACATCATTTTGATTTGCTCTTCCCACTGCTCTCAAGAGTTTGTCCAACAAAACAAGCTTTTATTTTTTACATGTTTTGATCTGTTATTGCGGTAACTTTGTTCTTGGTTATTGTACATTTTCTGTAACCATTTCTACCTCATTTTTGCGGCATATTGTACATGAAAGTATTTATTTCATGTCTTTTTTGATGTCTGTTTTAAAAATGATTATAATGTTCTTGAACTGTAATGGTCTACCTCAGAAAAGACTGTATTTTAAGAGAAGAGTATCACACAATATTAAACAGAATTTGTCAATATTGCACTGCGGGTTATTTCTTTGTTTTTCTCTCTGAATTTAGCCGTCAAGGGACTGCAATTGACCAGAGTGCAGAAATGACATGATGGTGGTGCTTACCTTGTGTCTTTGTATCCATAGCCTGGCTTGACCCCACTGTTAAGGTCAGCACAGTTACTTAAACTGATTGCTAATTCGTTTAACGTTTAAACACACAAGACTACATCACTAGGTTTTGGGCTTTTTTCTAACATCAGCTTGAATTAACTGAACACAGTAGCCTGTATAATCGGCGAGTTTAGGCAGTATGAAAGAAAGAAAACAGGTACATAGTGGGTTCACGAGAAGGTGTGCTGTTGTTAGATAAGCATTTTTGCAGTTGTTGAGGCCGTGTGTTGTGAGGGTGTATCTGTGTGGGGGGAAAGATTAGGAAAAAGGGAAGTGTGTGTGTGTGTGTGTGTGTGTGTGTGTGTGTGTGTGTGTTTAAAGATAAAAACAGAGAGCTGTATGTGTTTTGTGTGTCTACTTGCACATAAGTTTGTCGGCCCGGGTGTGCATGTGTGTTTCAGCATCCAGAACAGCAACAGAAGCAGAGCTATAGCACACCCCTGAGGCTTCAGGCCCCAGCACCAGAGCACAGAGGTCCTTCATATCTGTCACTGTCTGTAAACAACAGCTCGTCCCAGCGGCCTGCCCTCTGCTATTTCTGGCCTTTCCTGACATCTTTCAAAGACTCAAAACTAACTGAGAGAAGAAGTAAATCTGAGCAACTCCGTACAAAGAAGTGAAAGTTCAATCAAAGCCTGAAACAGGATCTATTGCTTCCCAGTTATGGATAGTGGTGTCAAAGCTGTGAGTTTGAAACATCTGTGACTGAATCCCAGTAGAACAGTGGTGCTGGTGGTGTTGATGACAGAGTAATTAATTGTCTAATAATGATGCATAGCTCTGTTATAAGCACAACCTTGTGCAGCGGCTGCCCTTCATCCTCTGATGAAGGATAATCATTTCTGCAGCTGTTTAAAAATTATTTCCTATCTTTTTCCGTCACAAACTCAATATCATAATCCACAAAACAACATAACCTTGCTGAGGAAGAATGGGCCACGTGGAAATGGGACATTGGCATATGAGGCTTATTTATATCTTACACTAATTTCAGACTAGAGGTATCACAAAAGATGTAGTTTTGGTTAAACTGTGCAGACTTTCATGTTTTTGTACTTGCAACAGCCACAAATAAAGATGTACAGTTGTTCAGATGTACTTCATACTGTGATAATATTGCTGTAAGAGGATTGGTGATAATGTGGCTCCAACCTTCTTTCTACATACACTTACATAGTCTGACTTCATGTGAGTCACTTTCCATCTAGTCCAAGCGTCTGAAAACCAGTTTGTCCTTTTTGTCCTGAGTGATTCCTGTCCTCCAGGAAGTCAATCATTTTCTTCTCCCTGCTGATTGGAGGTAATTAGGCGAGCAGAGTTTGTAATTGGATAATAAAAGATGTTAATGAGCTGCTGTCCTATTTACTCATACTTAGGCAGTGAATAGCAGGACTCAGCTCTTCTACACTTTCCTCACCGAGGTTATAAAACGTGGTATTGAGAGTCAGTTTATAGATATACATGCCATATATCAGAATACTTAACATGATATAGCTGGGTTTATAAATAGTAAAGGGTATAGGAATAATTAGTCTTACAATACATTTCATTTAATTTGAAGATGTTGGTAGTTATATTAGAAACTAAAGCTTTTAAACTGTACTTATGGAGGCATTCATTTTGTTTGTTCAGTGTTTATATATTTGTTTGTGTGTTAAAGCAGCGTTATGCCTGAAGACTATTATTTCAGAGGGCACTCAACTTAAATATCACATTTTTATGGTGTCCATGTACTTCTCTGTTGTGTGCTTCGTTCAGAGGTGCCCTGACAAAAAACTTGAAAGTTATTTATGGTAACAACCTTCATAAAAAAAGGTCATTCTCTGAATCTCATTTCACACGGACACAGTCCTCCTCTCCACCTTTGCCGTGCCGCTGGCCTTCCATTGTCCGGGCCTTGATACTGACAAGGTTGACATCAGAGGAGAGCTCTGACACTGGGTGAGTTAGGACTGCCAGCTGTTAGCAATCAAGTCTATTTTGAAGTCAGGGACACATGGACCCCCAGGGCCAAAGCAGCAACTAGCCCAACTCCCCCCCCCCAGCCTGCAACCTCCGAGCCCCCTGGTACCACAGATAGCCAGCCCAGCTGTATTGGTTCCAGATGTTGCAAAGCTGCAGTAAGGGCCCTTTACCTAAGAGGACCCCAAAAATGATGACAGACCTGTGCAGAGAGTGGTAACACAGCCGACAACAATAATTAATAATACAATAACACAAACACTGAGCTAAAGGATGTTTCAACACCAAAACTGCAGCCCACAGACAGATAAAGCTGAGGAGTTGGACCCATCTGTTGTCAAGCTCTAAAGACCCATCACATCTCTTTAATTTAAAGGCTCTAAATATTCTCACTCTTGTCCTTGACAGAGAAGGAGCTGCATACTGTGACAGAGAAAGCACTACCACTGCATAGGATCAATGTCGTTTAACATTAGATATTGGATCTTTTACTGGAAGGTGTAGCTGTCATCACAAATATTGGCCTGAATACTAAAGAGTGTAATCTTTATGGTAACTGGGATTCCATCAGACCGGCAATATCTGACAGAGTAGCAAGACAAAGAGAGCACAGAAAAAATTAATTACAATGATCAGATAAAGCTTGCACCTTCAAGTCAGATAAATAAGCTAATCTGAAATCTCGATAAAATTAGGAAAGAATGGCACAATGGAAACTGTTCATGTTCTTTAGAAGGAAATTATCAAATCTTTGCAGCTGCATTGTTTCTGTGTTGGACAGGTCAATCAAAACCCTCAGGAAATTGGGTTTGACAGGTGGAATGTCCTGGTAAAATGTCTTGGCCTACCCCCTCTCACATGACTAAAATGTGATCTCTGAATAAATAAACATTAAATAGGTATATAAGAGAATAAACAGATTGCTGTTTAAGAAGACGTGTCACTGAGGGCAGAATCTGATGATCATAACAGAAATGGATGAAGAGGTTATAATTAAGTTCTCCTACAAAATTAGATTTACTGCATGTTGGGTAGTCAGCAGATGATCATGTGAGAAATTGCTATGATGGCACCTAATTTCAAACAGACCATTGAACATGTGGAAGACAGGCAGGTTTTATGCAGGTCTGTACCTCCCTCAAGTGGCCAAGAAACTATAAACCCAAAGCAGATTGTGCCATGAATCCACTTAGATCAGACCCCAAGAGATAGCACTACAGTTAGCTGACATTTTTATTGATTTTGTTGTAAAACTTCATCAAAATACGTGAATTTAGTCAAAGTGCGGTGACTCAGTCTGGGGATGTGCAGTGTCACAAAGAGGACACAGCATTACATAGTTTATGGGATTTAAAGTGTTATATGAAAATGAAACAGGGTATTTATATTGTTTCAAAACTTTTTTTTTTTTACAAAACCATAAAATACCTCTAAATAGAACAATATTACAACTTCATAACCCCAGACAGCAAAGCTACAGCTGAACTGTATTAAACCCATGAACGACCCCTGGTGGCTCCACTTGGGAGTTTTGAATCATTTCTGCTCCATATGAAAAGAAAAATAATAACATAACTAACACAATATTACTGACATATCTGATGTATGTAAACATCTGTTCTTATGTATGTTTTTTCCAGAGACATTTATACATGCATAAAAACCAATATAGTAAACATTTGGAGTTGATTGTCAGTGGTGGCAGATGGTGAGAGAGAGACAAAACCACATCATAATATTTCAGGTACAAGTAAAAATTTAAAAATGTTTTTAAAATAGTAGACCAGGTTTATCTTTATAATGTGCAGTGTAATATAATCTTCAGCAATACATCATTTTATGGTATGTTTTTGGAAGATAAATGTAAAAGAGTAAAAAGCACAAGTAATCTGTTGCAAGACCTCTCTATATTTTATCTGCTGACATGTGTTCATATGCTTTTTGGCAGCCCTCTATAGTTAAAAAGCATCAACGTCCATATAATTGTTCATTTATGCACATACATTATTAATTACACACATTATGCACATACGTCATCACTTGTTTGTCCACATAGTTTTGTTGAACACAAATTCTACAATGTGTCTCTCTGTGTACTGTTCTTACATACAATATTTTGTGAGCAAGTACAGCTTGTATCCAGATCCTTCACTTAAATAAAAGCAGCAGCACATTACAGAGTTACTCCATTACAAGTAAAAGTCCTGCAATCAAACTGTCAGTAAGAGAACAGCATATTATCAGCAAAATGCCCCTCAGTGTCACTTTAGAGTAAAAGCACTCCTTATGCTTCAAAGAAGTTTATGTCAGTGGTATATAATTATATAGTGTATTGTATTATGATATATGTGTGAGCAGCATGTTGGACTAAACCAGTTTATCCTATAGCATTGAATTGTGTTTAATCATCACAGGCTTGTTTTGTTATCAATCTGTAGCTTCAAAAATAAATATAAAATGTACAATCTGTGTAGCTATCTGAAATGTAGTAGAGCAGAAGAAAAACGCTTTGAATGGAATAAATGTAGCCCATAAGAGGAGGTTACAGTAAACTGGAGTCACACAGTAGTCACACAGTTGTTTATGGTTTTATAATGCGCACAGCAGCGAGAAAGGAGGAGCTGGAGACACATCAGCAGCTGGAAAACACACTGTGGTCTGTTATAGTAAAAGAGTAAAAATAACACCAGCAATTATTTTAACAATCCGAGGTCATGTAAAAGTAAAAATCCGCCCAAATTTAAATCCCAAATAGGGTGTTACTGAATTATGAAGGCCTTGTGATTTTCCGACAGTGTCTACCGTTGGGAAGAGGTCCGACTTCAAGTCACTGCCATCTGCAGATATGGTATCATGTGTCTCACTGGAGACTTACTGGAAGTTACAGCATCTGGT